AATAAATAAGTGACACACTGGAAGACAAATGTCACACAATTCAATTTTATGTGTTAACCTAGAAATGATAAACTTATGGGAACAGAGAGCAGAATTGTGGCTATTAGGCTTCAATGTGGGTCTTTTAACAATGGGGAAACGATTGGTTTAAGGATATAAAACTGCAGTTGGACAAGAGGCATGGACTCTCTGAAGTCTTGAGGTCTACTGAGAGCATGATAAATATGGTTGATAACAATATGCTATATTTTAAAAGTTGTGAGATAGTATACTTTAAGTGTTCTCAAAACAAAAATGATGAGTATGTGTGATATAACATGCTAATTGGTTTAATTTAGCCATACCATTGTGAACATACTGTATTCTGTATCATAATTGTGCATGACTTTATTTATGAGCTAAATAAATGAATGAAAAAAAGAATACAGAAAATGATATACTATTAAAATCAGAAAAGTATTAGAATTTTTTGTTTTTATTAATGTTTGGTATAATTCTTTTCTCTAAAACTGTTCTCAAAATGTACAGAATAATCTTTAGTTTCACAAATGAGTAATAATAATTATAAAACAAGAAATTAAAACCTTGATAACAACTATGTAAGTTAGAATTTTAGAGTTTAAAGTGAAAGTTCTTTGTCAGGTACAAAATGGGATGTAAAATAAAATTACTTTCACTATTAAGTAGATTAAGCAAAGAAAAATTCACTAATGTGATACCTTTAATTAAATAATTAAAGTAATGTAAATAGTAGATAAGAAATTTATTGTGCATGTATGCTAAATAACAACTGGTTTCTTATGGGGATATACTATCATGTACTGTCATATTGTATTTGTTTTTATACAAACACTGGACATTGTAGTACTTTACCAAAAGGAAAATTCAAAACTACCCAGTAATTATACCACTTAAAAATTCAAGAAAAAAGTCAATCACCTATGCCAACATGTGCTTCTTGTATCATGCTTACATCATTAGCACCGTCACCAACAGCCAATGTGATCGGTTTCTCAGGTGAGATTTTTATCAGTCTTATTACCTGAAAAACATACAATGAGTTCATCCTTTGTGGTCAAGTTTCAACTTATTGTATTTGTGTAACTTCTTTCATATGACGTTTTCTGCAGTAGTATAGTGATGAAGACAACAAGACAGTAACACAGTAAACTTCACTCTTTGAGAGGTATGGAGACCAAGGGTTTAAGAATGTCTTTTTACAAGTGTTGTAACAAAATAGTTGTTTTTTCGGATTTTAGGAATATATTCTAAAATTTTAGACTAATAACTTATTTACATAAATAACTATACTTCACTGAGTTTTCAAAACAAAATTCTCAAGAAAGAAAATACCTGCTAGAAAGAAAAGAAACATTTAGTCTGATTAGCTAAGTTTCAAGATTTAAGAAGATATTATATTAAGTGAAATTAAAACAAGTTTATCTGGAATTCTTTAGAAATATTTTTAAGCCAGTGTGTGTATGGGTGGGGGGTGGTGTTGGTACACATGAGATGGCCAGTATTTGGAGGTCAGAGAACAACTATGTGGAGTTGGTTCTCTCCTTATACCTTTATGTGAGTTCCAAGTACTGAATCAAGGTCATTAGACTTACTTGACAGTAACTTTACCCACTGACTTTGTTCTGGGATTCTTGGATTTTACAAGAGCAGAGACATGTCTGCTCTAGTTTTAATCTCCACACACTGTGACATATAAGCACTGTAATAAAATTCCATGAATCTAAATATATTTATGTGTGTGTGTGTGTGTGTATGCATATGTGTCTATTTGTATGAGTGACCAAAGAGAAGTCAAAGAACAACTTGTGGGAGTCTGTTCTTTCCTTCTTCCATGTGGGGCCTGGGGCTGGAACTCAGGTAGTCAAGCTTAGCAGCAGGTGCCTTTACCTGAGGAGAGAGCTACCAGGTAAAATCTCATACCTCAAAATATTCCAAACTGTAGACTTATAAAAATTGTCTGAGCGGGTTTTTGATTGAACCCTAGGCACCTGAAATTTTTACATTTCTTGTATACAGCTTTACATATGCAGATGATAAAAGTAGATTGGATTTCAGCTTTCCTAATTTATAACTGATAGCCACATCCTCTTCTTCCCTCCCTGACACGTTGTTAGTTGAGGCTGACCTCAAACTTGCAATCCTCTCGCCTCAGACTCTTGAATGCTAAGATTTACAGTTGTTTGCCACTATGCTGAAGCTGATAACTTTTAACAAAGAATTGTCTTGTTTGTTCTGTACTTCCTTCTTTTCCTCCCCTTCCTTCCTCCTTTGAAGATTATTTTTACAGAACTTTTAATGATATATACTTACTTTTGCCTTCTGTAAAGGTGCCATACGACAACATAATACAGCTGAACAGTTTCTGCAGACTTCCATAAATAGCTTTTCATGCTCCCTGAGTGCAAGAGATAAGCTGGTCCCATCTACTACCAGCCCATGCTGAATCACATGGTCTTCTGTAATTCTAGAAAATAATATAATTATACGTATGTCACACTCTGAAGCCAGATTATTTACTCTAATAAGAGTCTTATTGAAAGTCAGACAGTTCAACCAGACTACTGTTGAATGACTCATGTATCAGTGAACAAACTCAGTTGTATTACCTAAAAGGTAAGATAAAACACAGCTTTTGTACAAAAAGAAAAATGAATACTACCAATGGTTAAAATATGCAAAAGAACATACACAGAAGACCTAAAGAAAACATAATTAATAAACTTTACTTGTAGTGTTATCAACAATGTATCTTCTTTATAATTTTTAGTATTTTAAGCTGATATTAAATTTTTGTTTGATTTTTTGAGACAGGGTTTGTCTGTGTAGTTTTGGAGCCTGTTCTGGAATTGACTTTGTATACCAGGCTGGCCTCGAACTCACAGAGATCCACCTGCCTCTGCCTCCCAAGTGCTGGAATTAAATGCCTGTGCCACCACCGCCTGGCTAGACATTAATTTTTAAAAATTTTTACTATGTTTTAATTTACATATTATTTGTATATATGTGTATGTACTCATGTAGAAGTCAGAGGACAACTTGAAAGAGATGGTGCTCTCTTGGAATCTCAGGGACTGAACTCACATAGTCAGGCTTGGTAATAGGCACATTTACCCACTGATCCATCTCACTGGCACAACATAACTTTTAAAAACCAAGAAATAATTTTAGAAAGTATACATAAAGTAAATTGTTTTGAGCAGTTAATTTCTCCCTGATAGTATTCTTCTTAACTACTCAGCACAATGGTGTTCATATGATCTCAAAATAACACAATTTCCAAGATGAAGTGCCTTCTATAGCCAAGCAAAGAAGTTATACTGTCTTTTAAAAATATCTCTAACTCTCAGGTACATGGTGGCAGTAAAGGATGTGAGCTCTCAGCTTCCTGCTGCCATGTTGCTCTTGCAAATATGGACTCTAACCCTTTGGAACCATAAACCCAAATAATGAGGTTCTTCTATAAGGTATTTTGGTCATGATTCTTCATCACAGCAATAGAAAAAGAATAAATAAAAAAGTTGATATAGGAGTGTGGGCTGTTGCTATGAAGAACATGACCATGGTGGGTTTTTGTTTTGTTTTGTTTTGTTTTTTATGGGATGTTAAAGACTTCGGAACTCTGGACAAGAAAAGCAGTTCAATGCTGTAATTAGAACTTAGAAGGCCATCTTGTAAGATGGTACTGCTGAAAGCAAAGCAGACTAGAGGCCTGAACAAGAGGTTTCAGAGGGAAGCAAGGACTTTAACAGCAACAGGGGTAGAGGATATACCTGTGTTATTTTGGCAAAGAACCTGGCTGCCTTCTGTTTGTGTCCTAAGAAATTATCTGGGGCTAAATTAAAAAGTCATGGACTACTTTCTTTGGTGGGGGAAATGTCAGGACAGTCATTGAGTATGTAGTATGGTTATTAATGATAATGCCTATAGAAGTCTACAATGAAAAAAAGAGCCAAGTGGGGCAGAAAGAAATAAAAAAAATGTAGATTTTTGGAGAAAAACACTAGGAAGCTTAATGTTACATCGAAGACACTTAATAGAAGAGAGGCTACAGTTGTTAAGGAGATTAGTGTCATTAAGGAGAGGCCAGTTCTGCACTGAAATAGAAAAGGCTGCCCTCGGGGGGTGGGGGGGGGTGGGCAGATAAACTTCCAACCTATAAAAGATAGCCTGGGGTACTTTCTGGTTTCTGGCTATGGAACTTGGCAGTGTAGTCCATGTAGTGCTAGCTTCAGAGGCATAATGCATGCAAGAATGAAGTTATAATCTTTCTCCATGGTTTCAGAGAGCCCCTAAGGCCAGACAAAATGTGGCCTTACCTGCAAGAAAGCCCTGAGAAGGTAAGAGGACATAAGATGTCACTACTGTGGAAGCAAAATCAGGGTTGCATTGGAGACCCCAAGATGTTGGAGGTACCAGGAACATGGAATATCTGCCAAGGGGAGCTGTATAAGGGGATCAGAACCAGCCACTGAGAGAGATTTATGTTGCATGCAGCAAAGCTGGGGGGATAGAGCCATCTAAGCCCTTTGACATCAGAACAGAGCTACAGGGTTTGGAGTTTGTCCTACTGGGTTTCAGTCTTGCTTTGATCCAGTTTCTTTTCACTGTGCCCCATTCCTCCCCTTTAGAATAGAAATAAATGTTAGATGTTTGTAACTTGCTTTCTGAGTTTTACAGGGGCTTACAAATAAAAAGTGTTCCTTGAAGTGTCTCAGAAGAGGGTTAAGATTATGAAAGACTGTAGAGACTTCTAAAGTGGGACTAAATGCATTTTGCATTGTGGATACGGGGACAGGGAGTAGAATGTGGTAGTTTGAATGACAAGTGTCTGCCATAGGCTTGGGTGTTTGTAAACTTGGTCCCCTGAGGGTGGCCCTATTTGGGGAGGGTTAGGAGGCTCAGGAAGTCTGTCACTGGAGACAAGTTTGAGAGTTTAATGATGGCACCATTTCCAGTTTTCTCCTTCTCCTTCATGCTTGCAGTACAGGGTATGAATGCTTAGCTTCCTGCTCTCTGGCTACCATGGTGTCCTTACCACTATGACTCATCCTCTGGCACTGTGAGCCAAAAGACCAACCTCCCCACTTCAAAGAAAGAAAAAAAAAAGGAAATCTCTTTAAGAAACTGTCCTGAACTGACCTGAAAACTTCCTCCCTGCTGCCTAGCTTTCATTGTGCCAGAAGGTACCCTGTAGGCCAGTAGAAGAGAAAAGCCATTAGTGGTATTTTCCACTTGCATGCTTTTAATACGGACTTACCAGGCAAGATGTGCCCCCTGGTAGAACAGTGACATGACAGTTATGGGGGTAACCAACCACTTTTGGATTAGAGCTGAGGTCTGCACCACAAGAAAGAATTCATGCCTTGTACTACAAACTTGGGTCAAAAGCCCACAGCTAGGAAGGTCAAATTGTCTTCTAAATATCTATGTTTGCACCCTTAGATTAATACTGCATTCAACCTTGAACGGGGAAAGTTCTCTCTACAGTGGTCAGCAGTTAATACATATACTCATAACTGGCTGAAGTGCTGAGAAGAAGGGACCACTGAGTGCTCAGCCCTAACTAAGATATCTGTACCAATCCCTCCTTCTCCACTCAAGGAACAGAGAACATTGTGGAAAGATGGGGTGGAAAGAATGTGTGAGTTTGGAGGATGGGGAAAGAGAGGTGAGAAATGTTTCCTAGACATGACATGAATATACAGAACTACGGTTAGCTGAATAAGACACAAGATCAGTCAGCATTCCAGCAGACAGCACTAATTAGTAGTTTACAAAAATAAAAATAAAAATAAAAAGGACATGAACAGGGAGGAGGACATGCTGGGGTTGCCTGGTGGGAATGGGAATGGGAATAAGGAGTCTGGGACAGAGAAATAAATTTGATTTGCCTAGAAATAAATTTGATTTACAGAATAGACAGAATTTAGAATATAAATTATTATGAAATAATTTTTGAACTGTGAGATGTAGATTTAACAGTTTGGTTATATAAAATAAACCAGGGCTAGCAAATGTTTTCTATAAAGGTTCAAGAAACTATTTTTTAGGGTCTGTGGGCCAAAAGGCAAAACTCAGGTATAGTACTATATAGGTACTTAGAAAGAAAATAAATTTTGCTAAGTTTAAAATGTAGTGATAATTTAGTGTATTTTGCTTGCAATATACTTAATAAATTTACTCATTCAAAACCAAAAGGATGGTTCTTACATATCAATCTCTGAACCCTACAGAATACAGAGGTTAGAAATTAATGTTCTCACTTTCAGCAAAATGGACGGTTGCAAAATCAACACCACAAATCAGCAGCTTTCTTATACACTAAAGACAGACTGAGAAATCAAGGTAACAATCTCATGTGCAATAGCCTCAAAAAAAAAATACAACAACAAAAAATCCAAAAGAGAAAGTCATATACAAAGAAAACTTAAAAAAAAAAAAAAACTCAAGAAAGAAGTGAAAGAAGACAGCAGATGATGAACAGACCTCCCATAACATGGATTGGTATGATTACTATTGCGAAAATAGTTATCCTACTAAAAGCAACCTACAGATTTAATGCAATTTCCATAAAATTTAAAGTAATTCTTCACAGAACTTGAAAGACAATCTTAAAATTCATAAGGAAGCATGAAGGACCCAGACAGCTAAAACAATCCTGAACAATGAAAGTATTTTGCAAGTATCATCATTAATGATTTCAAGTTAAATTACAGAGCAATAGTTGTAACAGCACCACGGCACTGGCACAAAAACACAGTTATCAATGGAAAGGAACTGAGGACTCAAAGTCCATGAACTTATATATACTTTATTTTTGACAAAGATGCCAAAACATACATTGGAAAAAAGACAGTATCTTTAACCAGGAGTGTTGGAAAATCGGCTCTCTTCATGTAGAAGGATGAAATGTGATTCTTCTCTCTTACTAAATGGATCACAGTTCTCAGCATTAGACCTGAAACTTCCAGAAGAAAGTTTAGAGAGTACACTTCAGGATATAAGATTTGGTAATGACTTTCTGAATAGGATTCCAGCTGTCCAGGAAATAAGATCAACAATCAACACATGAACTTCATAAAAAGATAGAGCTTCCGTATTACAAAGCAAACTGCGGAGGCAGCCTATAGAATGGGAAAAGATCTTTGCTAGCTATACATCTAATGGAGGATTAATTATCTATAAATTCTAAGAATTCAAGAAACTAAATATCTGTTTTCTCAAAAAGACACATAGCTAAGCAATATTTTTAAAGTATTTAGCAAAATTAGACATTAGGAAAATATAAATTAAAACACGTGATCATTTCACTAGATGCTGAAAAAGCTTTTGACAAAATCCAACACCCTTTCATGATAAAGGTCTTGGAGAGATCAGGGATAACAGGAACATACCTAAACATAATAAAAGCAATATACAGCAAACCAACAGCCAAACTAAATGGAGAGAAACTCAAGGTGATTCTTCTAAAATCAGGAACAAGACAAGGCTGTCCACTCTCTCCATATCTCTTCAATATTGTGCTTGAAGTTTTAGCTATAGTAATAAGACAACAAAAGGAGATCAAGGGGATACAAATTGGAAAAGAAGAAGTCAAACATTCACTATTTGCAGATGATATGATAGTTTACGTAAGTGACCTGAAAAACTCTACTAGGGAACTTCTACAGCTGATAAACACCTTCAGCAAGGGGGCAGGACACAAGATTAATTCAACAAAATCAGTAGCCCTACTATATACAGAAGATAAATGGGCTGAGAAAGAAATCAGAGAAACATCTCCCTTTACAATAGCCACAAACAACATAAAATATCTTGGGGGTAACTCTAACCAAACAAGTGAAAGACCTGTATAACAAGTTCTTTAATTCCAAAGAAAGAAATTAAAGAACAAACCAGAAAATGGAAAGATCTGCTCTTGGATAGGAAGGATCAACATAGTAAAAATGGCAATCTTGCCAAAAGCAATTTATAGATTTAATGCAATCCCCATCAAAATACCAGCACAATTCTTCACAGATATTGAAAGAACAACAATCAACTTTATATGGAAAAACAAAAAACTCAAGATAGCCAAAAGAACCTTGTACAATAAAGGAACTTCCAGAGGCATCGCCATCCCACATTCAAGCTCTATTAAAGAGCTATAGTCCTGAAAACAGTTTGGTATTGGCACACAACTAGACAGGTAGACCAATGGAATTGAATTGAAAACCCTGATATCAATCAGCACACCTATGAATACCTGATTTTTGACAAAGAAGCTAAAGTGATACAATGGAAAGAAGAAAGCATCTTCAACAAATGGTGCTTACATAACTGGTTGCTGACATGTAGAAGATTGCAGATAGATCCATGTCTATCACCATGAACCACTCTGGGATACCATCTTACACTGGCCAGAATGGATAAAATCAAAAACACCAATGACAGTCTATGCTGGAGAGGATGTGGAGAAAGGGGAACACTTCTCCATTGCTGGTGGGAGTGCAAACTTATGTGACTACTTTGGAAATCAGTATGGCGGTTTCTCAGGAAAATAAAAATCAGTCTACCTCAAGATCCAGCAATTCCACTCTTGGGCATCTACCCAAAGGATGCACATTCATACAACAAGGACATATGTTCAACTATATTCATAGCAGCGTTGTTTGTAATAGCCAGAACCTGGAAGCAAACTAGCTGCCACTCAACTGAAGAATGGATGGAGAAAATGTGGTACATTTTACACAATAGAGTATTACTCAGTGGAAAAAAACAATGAAATCTTGAAATTTGCAGACAAATGGATGGAACTGGATGTTAGAAACCATCCTGAGTGAAGTAACCCAGTCATAGAAAGACAAGCATTGTATGTACACACTCATATTGATATTAGACCTAGAGCAAAGGACTACCAGCCTACAATCCACACCACCAGAGAAACTAGGAAACAAGGAGGACCCTAAGAGAGAAACATGTGGTCCCCCCGAAGAAGGGGAAAGGGACAAGAACCACTGAGAAATTGGTAGCTATTCTCATAGTTCAGTGCCCTATTCAGTCATCATCAGAGATGTTTCCTTTTGCAACAGGTGCAGAGACACAGGACAAATGCTGCCTGTTTTCTTTCAGTGTAGATATCAGTTTTGGATTTTTAGATATGTGTGCTTCATTTGGAATACCCAAAAAGGTCAGGAAATTACCAAGGGTTCATGGGGAGGGGCTTTTTGTGGGAGGAGAAATAGAATGTACTAGTATGAAGAGTAAAGGGGAAAAACTGGGGTGAGGGAGGGCAAAGTAAAAGAAGGGAAACTAGAAGGGGTAATAACTCTAAGTACTTTCCAGGAAAGTCCCATAGAAACATACTACTATAAAAGCTTCTTAAGATGTATCTGTATATGTATATGTACATATATGGTGTTACCCTGTAACAGGGCAGCAACACCCCTACAAGACACCAGAGGCTAATAAATATAAAGTTCAGTTCCAGGAAAGGATTTCCAGAGTTGTTGGCCAGTAGGTTCCAGCTTGATTTTTCCATGTATGTATACTCATAATATCTTTAGTAATGGAGTCTTTTGTCTTTCCATCAAGTTCTAGAGGATAATCAAATGCATTAGCAATAGCCCATAATATCTGGGGACCTTTGGGACCTCACCATCCAAGAATTCCAGAAGTGATCCATTTTCTGTTTTGGTCACTGAACTTCAGACTGACATTAGAAAATGTCACAGTATGGTGTCATGCGTTATACTAAAAACCCCATCAAGTTGTAATCATGTCACTCTTATAATGCACCAAGCAGCAGTGTAGAGATGATATAAAACCTTGTAAGGTTCAGTTGCAAATAGCTAGCTCAGATGGTACAATAGTAACATATATAGCTATCACAGAAACAAGTGTATATAGCTATTACACTCTGAGACAATAAATTCCCAGTTTCATGTCATTTTTGTAGCATTTAATAAGTCTTTGGGTTGCTCCTCATCTATCAAAATATTTAAAAACATGTAGGAGATAAGCTCGGCTATTAAGAGCACAGGCTGGTCTTCGAGAAGATCCAGGTCAATTCTTTGCACCCATCTTGCAGCAGACAACTGTCCGTAACTTTAGTCCTACAGGATCCAATATTCTCTTCTACCCTCAGTGGATACCAGGTATACAGATGGTAATACAGATATTCATGCATGCAAAATAACCATACACATAACATCAAAATTTAAAAGTGCTTTTAAATTACAAATTAAATAAAAAAAATTAGGTAAGCAGTGGCAAGCTGACGCCCAGATATTGCTATCTTACCTCCTGGCAAGTTGCCTCAATTGTTCTGCACATCCACTGTCTGATTTCTGGTTGGTAAGTTCGAGGATATTCATAGTTCTATGAAAATGTCCACATGATAAACTCACACTAACAGCTGTTTCATGTTTGTCTCCTGTAAGTACCCATACTTTGATACCAGCCATTCTCAATGCTTCAATAGTTTCTCGAACTTTATCTTGTAGTCTAAAATTAAAAGAAAAAAATTGGTAGAGAAAAATACTCCTACAGTATATGTTAAGTATAATACATAAAGTATAATCTTTATAGGAATGTTACAGTGTATCAACATAACTGAAAATTTCTGTGATTATGCAGGAAACAAGAATAAACTACCAGTGGCCATCTAATTCAAAGAAAACCAATGAATTAAAATTTACAACCTTATGCTTTAAGGGTATTATCATTAAAGTTGGTTTTTATGAACCCAACTAACACGGTGGCCTTCATAAACCTATCTTACTGGGAAGTGGGATAGGGGGAGGGAGTGATTTGAGGCTTGAAGTATGGTAGGCAAGAAATGCGCCACTAGCAAGTCTAAAATTTCAAGCAAAGATCTCTCCTCACCCCACCTCAGTAACAGAAATAGGTAAAGAAAGGGAGGTAAGGATGCAGCCCTACATACAAGTCTAGTCATGAGAGGTCCTGAATTCAGGGTTTCTGCTTTTGGATGAGTCTCTTATAGTTTTCCTTTTAAATTAAACATCAGACTTGAGGAAATACAAGACTACATAAGTTTAAGAAATCAAATGAAAACCCACATTTAAAATATGTATTCCTTTGTAGATATACCAAACAAAAAAACAGGCTTAATTTATGAAAATCAATTTGACTCACAATATTCAATTTAATTTAAGAGGCTAAAATTGATATATATGCTGGGTTTTAAAAAGTTAACAACTTGTAAGGAATTTATATGCTAAAGGAGGAGAAAAATCTTTAATCAAATAATTTAATATAGCATAAAACACCAATAAGCAGAACGTTCATAAAGAAGAGCACTTTCAATTATGTTAGTTGTCAGAAAAGGATAAGGGTTGGTTATGAGTACATTTTATTCACAAATGCCCTGATAGGGAAGAGAAGAATCATCCAGGTACAAGGCAAAGCCTTGCCAAGGAACAAGCCATGAACACAATTTCAGCTACAGCTGAATACAGCCAGTGTGGCATTACTGAAGCATGAAGCAGATTGGGCAGTAGTGGAAGGTGAGGATGGAAAGATATGTGAATGTTTGATGATGTCAGGTAAGACAACTGACTGACGATGAATAGCAAAATGGAAGAATAATACAAGTGTTTAATCTATTTCAAATATCTAATGCTGGAATAAAACAGCATTATTGTCAGCAGAAAAATTAGTTTTAGTTTTCTATTTTGTTACAGAATGTTAATTAACAGTATTTATTTTAGTCTATTAGAAACCGTTGACTAAAACATTCTTTAAAAAAAGACACTGCCTATTTCTGATACTTGCCTGTCTTCCACTGCTGTAGCTCCTAGTAATATCAGGTCTTTCTCAATGTACTGGAAGACATCAGCCAATTTCTCTTCCCGTCGCTGCAAGGCAGTCCTGGCTTCAAATAGGCGCTTATCTATATCATCATATTCTTTAGTTGTAAACTGTCTATAAGCTATACATAGTGTCCGCAGTCCTTTCTAAAAGAAAAGATAGGCACACACCTCTAAGAGCCACATTTGCAACCCAACTTTAAATACAGTCAATTTTTATCTTCACCTGGGAATTAGAACTACACAAACTTAGGAATCTGTATTTGAATACTTGATTATATGGGCCTCAAATTTTCTTAATCTCTGAAAATTAGCATCTAAATCTAAATGCTTCTTACTATATATTTTTCTTAGAAAAACCAAAAATAAATGTTCTAGCAGTGAAACTTGAAAAGAGCAGATTTTAAAATACCAAATGACCACATTTAGCAAATTTCTAAATAGTGCCACTTCCTGATTTGTAATAATTAACATAAGGCACCATCAGATATTAATATATGTACTAATTAATTCACTCTACACTAACTATATGTAGATACTGTTCTAGACAATAAAGTCTTTGCTGTTAGATATTATAGAAGATAGATTACAGGCAACTGAAAACTAGTAACAGAAGGAGGTAAGGAGAGAGGTAAGAATGCCAACACATGGAAGTCTAGGCATGAGACATCTGGAATTCAAGTTTTCTGCTTTTGGATGAGGCTCCTATAGCTTTCCTCTTAAATTAAAGTCCCATTACATAAAATTAACTCTCTTAAAGAGTGTCATGCAATGTTTTTAGTATACTCACAACATTGATCATCACCACTACCAGAGTATTTCACCCCCCAGAGATTCCCTATCCATTAGCACACACTCCCTTCTCATCTTTTTGTCCAGTAGCCTTTGGCTACTTCACCTGTTTTCTATGAATTTGCCTATCCAGGATCTTTTATATAAATATAATGTATAGTCTTTCGTGGTTGGCTTCTTTTAGCAATCTCTTCAATGTTCATCCATGTTGTAGCATACTTCATTTCTCTTAATGACTAAGTAATATTCCATTACAAGGCTGTATCATATTTTAACCATTCATCAGTTGGGCACTTAGGCTTTGAGCATCCATATATTAGATCATGTGTGGATATATCTTTTCCTTTCTCTTTGATGTACACCCAGGTATACAGCTAGATCAGATAAACTTAATTTTTACCTTTTGAAGAATTTCTAAACTATTCAAAGGCTACATGACTTATATAATGTATACAATCTCTGGTTTCTCCATATCCCTGAAATAACTTCATACTCTTTTACTAAGCCCTTTCTGTCATGCTAGTTAGTATGTCCTCTACCACTGAGCCACACCTTCATTTTTTTTTTCTTTAAGTCAGGGTCCAATGAAGTTGTCCCAGTTGCTCTTGAATTTCTGGGCTCAAGCTTTGTCTGGTTTCTGCCTTCACACCACTGGCCCAGGATAAACAGAGAGCAAGGAGAAGGAAAGGAGAGGGAGGGCAGGAATGAGGAGAGGAAAAGAGAAAGAATAGAGATACAGCCATTCAGAGATAAACCCCAAGGATTTGTGCCTCACTCTAAGTCCGAAATACTCATGTTCATTAAGGGCACAGTTTGTGTGGTACACACAACCAGAAGTCCCTTCTACAACAGGTTGGAAGAGAGTTACATGTTACCAGATTAAAAAATCATTTCACAACAAGAATAAAGAGCCAACATTGAATGGAAAAGAACTAAGAATTACAGAATTCCCCAAACTTGGATAATCTATTAAAAAGACAAAACCTCAGCTGTTTCACAAATATATTTTTCAAGTTTGTTTTTTATTCTTTTTTAATAATAGTTATCTATACTTACAAAGCAAATTTATCCACATGAATTAGTTCTTTAATGCAAAAGAACTAAGAATTACAGAATTCCCCAAATTTGGATAATCTATTAAAAAGACAAAACCTCAACTGTTTCACAAATACATTTTTCAAGTTTGTTTTTTATTCTTTTTTATAACAGTTATTTATACTTACCAAAGCAAATTCATCTACATGAATTCTGGTTTTTGCTATTTCTCCACCTATACATTTAGGAAGAATTGAAGATTCTGCTCCTTTAGCAAATAAGAGCTTCTCACCTAAAAGGGAAAAAAATAACTAGTTATCAAGCTTAATATTAGGTAAACATATATTTATAAAAGTTTAGATTGGTTACCTGAAGGTGCCTGAACAATTACACTCATTCTTCTACGATCTGAATCAAATTCCAGAATATGAAGCAATTTGTACCTAAAAATTAAGAAAGATAATCCTTAATTTTTAGAGTAATAATGTGAATATTTGCAAAGAATAAAAGATAAAACACAAGTATAAAGTAAGAAACTAGAACTGCATTAACATGAGTATAGGCTCTAAATTATCAATAACAGTACTAGACACAAGGGAGATGGCATTAAGTTCTCAACAACTAACATGTATTTTAGAGACCTTGGGTCATTTAACTTTCACAGATGCCAAAATGAAGACTACTAGAGAGATTAATGTTCAACAAGGTGGTATGCAGTAGAGAAGGACTGGAGCCCAGCTCTGCCCAGTTGGCTGATTCACAATCATTTCCTTTCCTAGAACATCTTACCAATTCAACCTTTATGCAGTCTTAGAGGTTTGGCAGCAATGATTCTGAACCTGGGGCAGGTATAAGGGTAGAGGATAGGGGAGCAAATGCCTCTTTAGAGAACTGAGCAAAAACTTATGAGGATAACTAATATGGGGCTTGAAAAAACTCCCAGGAAAGAATGCTATAGTGATATGTAAGTAATGAGTGTTCTAAGTTGACACCAGGTTCCCTCATGAAAATAGCTTCAGAATGAGTCTTATTTCTTTAGTATGGAAAGGCACAGCAAGGATTGATGTACACAAGCAACAGGCACAGACTAACTTAAATATAGTAGGAAAAGGATGAGTAGACTGGTATTTCTGAATGCTTGAGCATCAATTCATGGACATCACAAGGGAACTTGTGCTGGGGTATAGTTTATGGCACAGCATTTGCCCAACATTCCTGAGACACTGGTTTTGATCCCCAGTACTACAAAAACAAAAGATTAAAAAAAGGAAGCTTTCTTCATCTAACGACCTATGGAATCTCAACCCAAGTGTTTAATATATGTATATTAGCATATTAGTAAACAGTATACTAAAATACAGCATACTGTTGTAATTATGATGAGATACAATATAATATTGAATTATTCTAGAGAAAAGGTTAGCAAGTGTTTTACATAGAGAATCAGATAGTATTTTAGACATTAAAGGCTATACACCTGCTGTATATTAAGACATATTCTTGCATGCAAGGGAAGTGTTCTACTATTAAACTTTATCCCCAGCCTTTCTTTCCTTTTTAATTTGAGACAGGGTCTTACTAAGTTTCTTGGGCTAGCCTCACTCTAGTGCCTAGGCAGGTCTTTAACGTGTGATCATCTGGATATAGCCTCCATACTACCAGAACTATTTTAATCTTTCTGCTTCTCTCCCTTACTCCTTTTCTTTTTTAAACAACTCCAAATGCAATCCGACATACCTCATAAACTATATACAGAAACAGACTGTAGGACAGAACTGGACTATATGCCATAATTTGCTGATTATTATTCTATACTTATATTTAGTATGGACTATAACATATTTGGAAGAATTTACCTTTCCAGTCTTCCAAGTACTTTAACTTCCATAGTTTCTTCAGAAATGCCTACAAATATAATACCAGCTCTAGGAATAAGAGGAACCGAGAATTAACAATATTTAAAGGAAGATATTTGATATTTCACACTATACCATTATAAATTGGTTTGAACAAAGGTACATTAATTAAAAGTTTAAGATGTATTTACAGTACTCCCTTTGAATAATATTACACTATTCTTAAGAACTTGACCGGTCAGACTTCACCCAAAACAAAGCAAAGTATTTTTACAAGTTTTATCACAAAAAATTCATACTGAATACTTTTTAAAAGCTCATTACAAAAATTTAAATTTACATTTGAGAATTTTATATGACAGTTTCCTAATGTTCTAACATTTATTTCAAGAGTATTCCTCAAGGATCAGAAAAATCAGGCCCAATCACCTTGCTGCAGCTTCCACAAGAGCCTTTTCATCTGGTGAAGATGCATAGTACTCCAGCTGTGTAGGTGCTAGGTTGGACTGCCAGGGACCATCACCAATGCCATCAGTTTGAACATTGCTGATCTGTACAGTATGGCAAAGACTGACTGCTTTAAAGAAGAGGTCATGTTCTTTGATCTGTAGAAATATAACATTCATGATTAAAGCACATTCCCAACACCATGTAGGAAACCAGACATAAGACCCGGAGAGCTAAAACAAGAGTGCTAATGACCTGGAATACCTGAGTAAGAGCTGCAAATTTTGGATTTCAATTTCATATTATTTTAGGAGCCTTTGGTATAACTGCATCTATTTAGAAAGTCTAAACAAACTGCAAGCTAGGGAGACTATGGTCTTGTGAAGAAGTAAGTTCTTAGACATAAGAAAATATGTACTATTTCTCTCTTTCACTTCAAGGCAATAACAGCATTTACTAACTAATAAGGCAAGGCATTTAAGATGCTTAATAAAGACAAGCTAAACTGGGCTGGAACTACAGTCTCAGAATATTATTTTGTGATGCTAAATCAAGACATCTATTTCAAATACGTACTTCTTGCTTCACTGATAGGAATTTCTTGAGTCCATCTATTGAAGAGAATTAATTCATAGGAATGCCATAATGACTAATTTGAAAATTGCTTACTGTTTCAGTATCTCTTTCAGGACTGGTTCTAAAAGAAGAACTGGCTGTGACATGTGCTGAGTTGTTGAGATGGGATAAACTACCAAGGTAAGGTAAGCTTCCTTCTGTGGAGTCTGGGGTTGGTCCTTCAGGTACAAGTCTACCATTGATTTCTTGGTATTTCATGCCATTAATTGAACATTCTCGAAATTGCATCTCATTTTCTGTCAGTGTTCCAGTTTTATCTGTAAACACATATTCCACCTAGAGAAACAGAAAACAAAAGAAACCTTTGTGGTCATGGGTTAGTACTGAACAAGAAAACCTTTCTCCTGTTTTCTAAAGTCTAGTCTATTAACATCAATATACCAAGGCTGAGGGTCGTACAGTCTATGAAGTTATTATTGATGTAATGAAAATAAAACAATAAAAATATTCAAAATTTACATACATTTTTTGGTACATGTTAATTTGTAGAGGTGACTAAGAATATGGTATAAGATATTTCATGTCTATCTCTTGGTCAAGCTACATTTAAAATAGTATGATTTGACACTCATCATTGAAGTTAGGGCAGAAAGGATGCTTACTAACCCAGAAAGTGAATAGCTGCCAGGACAGATGGTATAAATACAGGAAAAGGAACAAAATAATGACAACGACACAAGACATTAGAGATGAGTAGTCAATAAAGGACAGAGAAGTTAAAACTGAGGGCAGGAAACAAATACAGTGAAAAAAATGTTTAAAATAATGTGTTTTAAAAAAATATGTGAGAAAATTATTTCATTACTCTTGGGAGCTGATCCAAGAAAATTAACTCTGAAAGAGAAGGATACAACAGTGAAGTTGATAACAAAATTATGGTGAGGATTTGGTTACTGTAATGATGTGAGAGAAGTCATTTAAAAAGAGAGGCAGTGGGGCTGGAGAGAAGAACAACTGCTGCTCCAACAAGAATAGAGCCCATGCACCGAGAGAGGCAGGGAAGATCAATGGGGCTTGCTGCTGACTGCCAACCAGCTGAAAAATTCAAGCTACAGGTTCATGGAAAAGTTTTGTCTCAAAAGGAACAAAGTAGAGATTGACAGGGAAGGACCCTCACTGGCCTCTACGCATATGCAAACAGAATGCATCCCCCAACATCTCTCTCACAGACACACACATACACAATAAATATGCACAAGTACACATGTATACAAAACAAAAATACAACTAAAAAAAAGGAAAGGAAGACAGCCATCACAAGAAAAGCAAAAACAAACTACAGACTAGTATTTCTCATGAATATATATGCACATAATGTATACTAAGTCCAAAAATATATACAAAGGATTGCTTATCATTAAGTATATGAGATATCTCAGGAATCCAATCATTATACTTGTTATACACAAATTACCAGATTGAAACATGTCCTTTATTCTATTAATAAAATGACCATCTTAACAAATACAGAAAAATCACTTGATAAAAATTCAATACTCTTTATGACAAAAACACAACATACTATGATAAAAGCTTCTTCAAAACTTGGTAATATCACACTGAGTGATTTCCTCTTATCAACCGAGATATAAGACAAAGTTGTCTGTTCTCATATGTTTTATTCAACATTGTACTGAAATTTCTAGTTAGGAAAAAGAAGGAAATTATCCTGACTTGGAAGAAAAAGAGACAAAGTTATCTCCATTTTCATATCAAAAGACCTTGCATCCAAGGGAATCCACTTAAAAAAATCTATTAGCACTAATTAAGTTCAGTGAGATTCCAGGATAAAAGATCAATGTGCAAAATCAAAGAATTAAAGTGAGATAATTGTTCTAACCAAGAAATAAAGAGGGATAAGAAATTGTATTTTAAGGTTCATACTCTAGGGGACAATAAAGGTAACTACAACACTTGAGACATAGAAAGTCTACTATGTAAAATAATAACGTATTGCATGGGGCCCAATATCAGTCTACCCATGTAGTCTTAGCTATTGGGAAGGCTGAGACAGGAAAATCACTTGAGCTCAGGGGTGTTTTGTTTTGTTTTGTTTTGTTGAGACAGGGTCTCACTATGTAGAGCTCTAGCTATCTTGGAACTCACTATGGAGAACAGGTTGGCCTTGAACTCACAGAGATCTCCCTGCCTCTGTCTCCCAAATGCTGGTATTAAAGGTGTGTGACACTACACTTAGATCAGCTCAGAAGTTTAAGCATAGCTTGGGCAGCAAGAAATGGGGCCCCATCTCAAAAAGAAAACAAAAAAGGCCAATAAACTACACCTGGGGTTGGGGTGGGCAGATCCTAGATAAACTGTCACGTTTGAATACAGACAGAGATGGTGAATGTATTTATAAAGACTTGTTTGAGGAGTATAAAACTAAGCAAGTAAAGAAACAGCATTAGCCCCAGGGGAAATAAAATGCATAAAGAAAATATAATGATAGTATTATGAAGAACAAATGAGGAAGTAAGAGTTTGGAAACAATATTATGAGTCATAATACAAGTATTTATTAGATGTCAAATTGTAACACCACCAGAGTAGGCAAAGTGGGCAAGTTTTGGCATATGTGTACAAAATGGTAAAGAAATAGTTGCCCGCCACTTTTAATATTTATTTTATTTTATTTAATGATATGCTTGCCCGTGTGTCTCTATGTGGGTAGTGACATGAGTAAAGGTGTTTTTAGAGGCCAATGGCATTAGATCTCCTGGAGCTGGAAGTAGAAGTAGTTTTGAATTTGAATTCATACCCAATGTGAATGCTGGGAACTGAACTGAAGTCCCCTGAAAGTAAGCACTCTTGACCTCTTGAGTCATCTCTCTAGCCCCAGTTATAGCTTTAAATTCCATAATTGGTAATGTCTAAAAATTTCAAATCATGATAAAATATCATAAAGAAATATACTGATAAATAATGGAAAAAGACATTATGAAATAACATGGGAATAAGAATTAGCTGAAGCAATGTAAAAGGTGTTTTGGTATAAGCTTTGTAATATTTTCTATTATCAGTCTCTTTACATGTAATTCTCTGATAGAAAGAAAATATCAGGATCATCTTCACCTGTCCAAGCTCTTCATTCAGGTCAGAAGTATTGACTTGAGCTTTTTGATCTGACTCTTCATGATACAGATCAAGATCCCAGCCAATAAAAAATGATCCAAGAAATTTCTGCATTTCAACTGTCACATACAGAGAAATTGGAATGATGAAATTGTAGAGTACCAAAAAAGCAAGGAAATCAGAAATAAATCTCAGGATCTAGAAAAAAGAGAAAGAGATGATTATTTGATGACAAAATACATGAGAATTATCAGAAAGTTCTTGTCTAAAGTATCAACTATATTCTTAGGTAAACTAATATCATGACTTGAAATTCCTTAAACTATTTTAATACTGCATTTCCTCTGTTTACTTAAATTACTGCTTAAGGTAAAGGTTAAATTCCCACAGCTCAATTTGTTACTTTTCGGAAGTTAGCTGGCATGACGAATGAAAACACCAAATTATAACCAGCCTCTGTGTAGTGTGCTAGCCATCCTACTACTCTTCAAAGGTCATGGGTGACTAAGACATGAGCACAACCTAAACCATACTGGAACGCAATTTCTAGGGAGAATGGTTAAGGAACAGAACTGAAGAACACAGACTACATGGATAGATTATAGCAATAGCACAGCAGAGCTGTCTTTCAATATGCACTCTGCAGAATATAAATGATACCGGTAACAGGGTCCTATACTGATCTGCTTTGTTATCTCCTGAGATTAAATGTTCTCTACTGCATACATTTTAATTTAGATGGAAATTTAAAGAATAATTATTTACCAAAATTGCATATATCTTGGTATATCAAAACCGTTAAGATTTAAAAGGTATAATAAATTATTTTTAAACCCCTGAATTTGTAATACTGAAGTGGAATGCACATGTACTGACATATAAATTTTTGTGATCTAATTATTCAAGCCAAACGCTACTAGGAACACACAAAAACGTTCAGTCCCTAAACTAGAGAAAGTACACCACTGCTAACACATTGATTGCTCTTCTGCAAAGACATCTTGTCAATACCAATGTTGTGATACGATCACAGTGGTCCTTTCCATCAAATCATCAACTATCCCCAAAGTTTCCATAAAGCTGAATTACGAATAATACATAATACCTTACTACTATTTCTTTGATGTTCTGTTTTTTGGTTATACCAAGGTTCATCCCATTTTTCTTCAGCTTGCCAGGTATATTTCAAGATAGTACTAATGATGGCCTCAGAAATAAGGATTATTAGATAAATTATTAAAAATGTGTTCATTGATCTAAAGCAAGAAAAAGAACATAAACATATCAGTATATTCTACATTCATTTGCTTAGAAATAATACATATATTAAGCATACCAAAATATATAATATTTTATTATAGCTTTTTTAAAGATGGTCTTTATTTTTTTGTAATGACTATTAAATAAAACATAATTACCAGCAACCCAGTTGTAAAGCCTATGAATCATACAGACAGCAAGATATATGCTAAAGTACAATGGTGGCACTTCTATCTTGGGGGTTATCAGCAACCATCTAATTGGACTTACGGCCTGCTCAACAGGAGGGAATTCATATCTGGTACTTTAGACATTGCCATCTGTAGCTAATGAGGTCATGAACCCTAGATAAGAACCTACTACTACCATTTTCTAAACCAGTATTATTTCCAGTTTCATTCTAAATACCTATCTTTATATGTACAGGTAAGTGTAGCTCTCACCTCTCACCAAAAAGCTTCTTTTGCAGCAGACAGAGAGAGTAACAGAAATCCATAACTGGTCAAAATGCAAAGAGCAAATGACCATGAGATGGCCAGCTCCACACGTCTAAACACAACAAAACTCCTATGTCTAAAGCTCAGGGAAACATCTCAGAAGGTAGAAAAAATTTTCAGAGCCAGAGGACCAGGACATCTGCTGTGAGACAGTGTTGGGTGACAGTTTACTTTGAGACAGAGACATTCCAAACTGCAAGGAAGTTCCTTAAGCAGAAAAGTAAACAACTTAAGACATTGTGTTTTTGCCTACATCTTCATGAGACACTCTCCTTCTTGAATACATTATATTATATTAAACCTTTCATCAATACTACTACTACTACTACTACTACTACTACTACTACTACTACTACTATGGTATGTGGGTGGAGTGTCTGGAATCAAACCAAGACACAGCACTTTCTACGTGAGCATTACAACATTGAACTAAATTCCCAACCCCTCACTCTATTTTCAAATGTTTAATTGAAAAACCTCTCCTTCTTGTCTTAATTGCTTTAGTTTATATTCAACATTCTCTTATTTAATTTGAAATTAGTATCACAGTCCCAACTATCAGCAGTGAGACAACTACTCCAAATCATTGCCCTTAGCATTCTGAGGAGTTTCCTCTATCTGTGAGGGACATTAAATCAGGCCAAAGTGGGATTCTTGGCTTTGACACTAAAAATAATTCAAGACTAGCCAGTAAAAAGAAAATCTGGAGATTTTATTAAAGATATTTATTAAAGATTTTACTAAAGATAGACCTTAAACACAAAAACGTGAAAACAAGAGTGTCCAGAACCAAAGTCTTAATATTATTTAATTTTTCACTGTTGAACTGGAAAGTCTAAAGGGGGAAGAATTGTGTCTCAGAAAACCTAACACATAACAGATATACATCTAATATATATTTATAGGCTGAGTTTTCTCAAGCAGAAATCAGTAAATAGTTTCAAAATGTCTTACAGTTCATGAGTAAGACTTTATAGTAAAACCCTGGTGAACTTTTTATAAATAGTAATACTCTGGCAAATTCTGATTGTGATGGTATTAACTCAGAGATACTCCCTCCTCCATGTCTATTATTATAACAAGCTTTCTATTTTATGTTTCAATTCTCAAAAGTATGGACTCCTTAAGGTTTTGATGCTAGTCTCACCTGTATACTGCTACAATACTGAGTAGGTACTGCTGAAGCAAACAGATTCAACTTTAAATTTAAAATCTTAAATTTGAAAACATATATTTGATATGAAGAAATGTTTTATCACCAAAAACTTCAGACTACTACAAAGATTCATAATTACATCAACTGATACATCTACAAGCTGATCTCTATACGTAAGGCTCAGGGAACAATGAAGCAGGGGTGGAAATTTTCTAAGAGCCAGGGGACCAGGATGTCTGCTGCTAGAAAGTGGCCTCAAGACATGACATGGAAAATGCACCCATGAGCTCTCAACAATATGATTGCCTCAACAAGACTGCATAATAACATTAGTTGACATTCAACATGGATGAGGAAAGTTCCATATGGCTCTGCTCCTAAGTGAAGAGTTATAGCTGGTCAATGGCTGTTGAGAGGAGAGAATCAGTTACTTGCAGAGCTAGGCTCCAATATAGGTTATCGAGTCACAAATGGTCAGTCCTGCACACATGTACATACAGGCAACACTAAATGGACTCAATAGGTAAGTACATATATGTCTAGTTTAAAAAGAGGCATTCTCAATAAACAAATAAACTTCAAACATATAAACACAATAATGAATCTTCATGTGCACCACATAGCTTCAACAACTGTCAACATGCTACCATTCTTATTTCAATTATACTCTCTTCCATTCCAATTACCCATTTAATTTTTTCTGTGGTTCTTTTATCTTGCCATTTCATGAATAGCTTTTTAAAGAACTTCTTGACTTGTAATATTTGAAATTACAGACTCACAGAAAGCTGTAAAATCAGAACAAAGAGTTCCCTAAACTCTTAGTATTTTCTCCAGTTCCTGCCCCCTCCCCACCTTTTTAAAGAGTAATGAAAGGGAACACACCCGGAGGCTTATGCTATGCCATGTACTCTACCACTGGGCTACATCCCCAATTCAATGTTGGCATCTTATGCAGCTGTGACACAGTATCAGAACCAGGAAAGTAACATTGGGATATTCCAGGAAATTAGATGTGATTAAGATTGAAATTTATAAAACCTCTTCTTACTGGTATGAAATTAATTCCACATACAGATTAATTGCCATTATAAAGAACTGTCCCATCGTCACTTTTAATAATGTATTTATTTAAGGACCAGCATTGTAGCACATGCCTTTAACCCCAGTACTTAGAAGGCAGAGAGATTTCTGAGAGTTAAGGTCAGCCTAGTCTGTATAGTACGTTCCAGGTTATCCAGGGCTACATGGACTCTGCCTCAAAAACATAAAATAAAAAACTTTTATGTGTATGAGTGTTTTGCATGCATATTATGTATGTACACCACATGTGTGCCTAATGTCCATGGAGTTCAGAAGAAGGTGTCAGATCCCCTAGAACTAGAATGAAAAATGGTTGTGAGCCACCATGTGGGTGCCAGGAACCAAACCCAAGTCCTCTGCAATATCAACAAGTATTCTTAACCACTGAGCCAACTCTCCAGCTCCCATTACTCCTCATATTTTCACTCATCCCATACTAAATCTGTCCCCTGGCAGCAATAATCCATCCCCAATCTATATATAGTTTTACAATTTTGAAAATGTTCTACAACTGGAAACATAGTTATATAATCTTTGAACTTGGCTTTTCCACCAAGTACACAATTTTGTAGCTGTTTATAACTCCTTTTTCTTGCTGAATAGTGTGCTATGTCATAGCTGTACCAGACTTTCTGTTCAACTATTACCCATGTATGAACAATGGGTTGTTTTCCAGACTTTTGCTGTAATAAATAAAGCTGCTAGGGAAAGAAACTGCAAAATTATCTTCCAAATGGGAATACCATCATCTGACATTCTTACCAATAATGTATGGGATCTTATTTCTCCACTTCCTGCTAGCACTTATTATTTCTACTCTTTTATTTAGTCTTGTTCCTTAAATGGTGAGCTAACCTCACTGTGGTTGTGATATGATATTCTCTAATAGACAATGATGTTGACAGAACATCTCTATCTGTTCACCTGACACCTACAGCTCCTTTGATGAAGTATGATTCATGCTTTTGGTTACATCTAACTGAATGTTTGTGTTACTATTTGATTTAAGTTTGTGGTTTGCTAATATTTTCTCCCAGTCTGTAACTTGTCTTCATACTTTCAAGAGGGTTGAGAGGATTTTTAACTTAGATGAAGTTTAATTTAATTTCTTTATTCAGGAGTTATGCTTTTTGTCTAGCAATTATTTGGTTAAGTCCAGATCCTAGAGATTTCTATGATTAAAGTCTTTATAATTCTGTTTCATATTTAATTCAATCATCACTTTTGGATGCTGGAGACTTAGCCCATGGCCTGGTACATGCCCTCTTATTAGAAAAAGCTCTCTGCTCCCTCACGTTTATTCAAAAGTTCCCCCAGGTATTATAAATAATGGGTTTCAGAGTTTATAGCTTTCCACATTCCTCAAAAGACTGCTGATTTTTGTTCTATCGGGCAGTTAACTTTAAGCACCTAATGCCACTGCAATTGGTCAAAGTAAAATTCTCTCTCTCTTTTTCCAGCATTCTCTGAATTCTATTGTTTGTTTCTTGCCAACTTGCACCTATAGTTTTATCAGTCATACAAGAAAATCTGGGCAGCTTTTACATACACATTTTCAAGTCAAGTCCATTATTTCCTATGATGTCTTACCTATTTTCCCCTAACTTTCTACATTCTCTTCTAGCTTTAAACTTTGTCCTCTGACATTTCAACCCAGTAAAGAAAACGTTTTTCCCATCTTATTTCTTCTATGTCCCTCCATTTGTCTTCAGGATTGGGCTCACTGCCAATTTGACCTGCTTTTGGTCACTTTTTATTACCAGTAGCCCAGGGTAGCCTCAAACTCATGATTTTCCTGTCTTTGCCTTCCTTCCAAGTATTAGGATTACTGGGGTGTCCTCACCACGCATTGTTCAGCATTACTCGTGTGCTTGGGTGTGTGTGCCTGTATGTGGTTTTGCATGCCTACATAAACAGATATGCATTATGCAGAAGTCTAAGGTTGGTATGTTCCTCTCTTGATCTGCACTTTATATTTTGAGACATGGTTTCATACTAAATTCAGAGTTCACGATTTCTGCTAGAATGGCTGACTGGCAAGCCCCTGGGATCTCCCTGTCTCTATCCAGCAAGTTATAGGTCCATGCTACCACAACCAGCTTTCTATGTGAGTGATAAAGATAGGAACTCAGGTCCTAATGCTTGTACAGTAAGTATTTTACTCAGAGCTACTTACCGCCTCATACTCTACACTATTTTTAGCCATATTTTAGTATTTACTAATAGTACTTACTAAGTATATATAAAATGCTAACTATACAAAGCATAGACATTATCATTATCCAAAAGAATATCATTATGTGTATATAATATGAAATAAATTTTAAAGAATTTGTTTATTTTTAATTTTAATTTTATGTATATGGGTATTTTGCCTGCATGTATGTAACTGCATTGTGTGTATACTTAATGCCCATGGTGATCCCTTGAAACTGGAGTTACAAATGGTTGTGAGCCACCATGTGGGTGTAGGGAACCAAACCTGGGTCCTCTGGAAGAGCAGCAGTGCTCTTAACCACTGAGTCACCTCTCCAGCTCCTGAAATATCTATTATTATATGTAGCATACACATATGAGTAAGACGCACATATAATTATATAAGAGTTTTCTTACTTTTCTACTGCAGATCGTTTCTGTGACTTGCTCTTGTAATTTAATGCCATCTTAGTTTCCATTCCAGTGTATACAGCCACACCTAGAAAATAAAACTGCTATTTTAAATGCACTATCATTAGCACTGTCTCAGTTTGTATAATTTGGCTTTGTCTTGAGTCTTTTCACAGCTTTTACAGACCTGCTAAGCTTAAAATTTTGGTGATCTAGGCATTCAACCTGCATGTAGTCTTGTTTCTCAGTAACAAATATTTGGATGAAAGGTATTAAGAGTTGACACTAATGGAATAGGAGGGTAGGAATAATAGGTGACCATTGCATATGGTGTTAATGGTATTAGTAACAGTAAAAACACAAAAACACTTCTGTTAAACTGAAACTCAGGCTAAAGACCCAGAATGCCAGAATCTGGAGCCTACATGTCATTCCTTAGGTACTGAAGAATATCAATGTCTTTCAGAGTAAACGAATGAAGCACAAAGAAATGCTGTGTGAGACTCTGAGATGAGAGAGTGTGGTCATAGTAGTGGGACTAAAACTAGGGACTAAAACAAATTAGTCAAGATAAAACTTTAAATGTTGCTTCAAATTCCTAAATAGTAAAAGTAAAGAAATAACATAGGACCAACCAATTGTGCCCTTTTAGTAAGCATCTGACCTGGAATTTTTAAGATAAAAATCAAAATGAAAAATGGCACTAAAACCATGCAATTTGAAAACAAAACAAAACAAAAAAACCTCAGAATGAAACAACAGAGAACAGGATGCTGAGGCAAACAGTAGACTATGCTAAAAGCATTCAAAGACCCAAATGCTTCTAAAACTAAATAATGTGGATCCCTACTTTAAAGTAATAAGAACAAAAAGTATTATTCCTGCAAAGTCATATAAGATTCAGTGTCCCAGTAGAAAATTTAAAAACCATGGAGGTTTACTCTGGTTTCTGACATCAGAACTGCTATAATTTTTAAAAAATGGTAGCAAAATACATGTAACATACAATTTACCACCTAACCATTTAATATGTATAGTTCAGTGGTGATAACACATTCACACTTTAGTGAACTCATCTCTTCTATCTAACTAGAGAATACTTTAACCACTTTTTAAAAAAAAAATGCTGGACCCATTAAATATCTATCCTGCTTTCTATTCTCTACCCATGGAAGTCACTTAGTACGTCATCATTATGGATATACCCATGTGAAGTATTTCAAATGAAAGGGAGAATATAATCTGTGGCCCTTTATGCCTGGTTTCTACAAGGCAAGAACACCATTAAAGCTCTTCCTTTTGAGAAATAAAGTGTGTGTCCCCAGTAGTACTGGCTCCACATTCAGAGCTCAGTAAGAATTTATTGGATATACAAATGTGTGAATGAATGAGTCTGCAGTTATTAATTCAATTGAAGAATAACCATAACAGAATTGATGAAGTGTGGTCTACCACCATGATACTGAAAAGCATTGACTTGTATCCAAGTTTCTTGAAGTACACTAGTCATTTTCTTAGTACTCAGCTTCACAAGAATCCATAAACACAGTAAGAGACTCTAGCACTACTCAAAAGGAAAGATCAACAACAAAACAATATTAAAACAAACTTTAAAAGAAAATTATCATATATTACATTGAATAAAGTAATATTGTGCAAATGACCATGAAATGCTATTCTTTTAAAGCTGCTTTACAGAGGATGGGGATGCTGTTTAGTGCTATACAATGTGCATGCCTACTGTGTGTTAGACCCTGAGTTCAGTACCAAGCACCTCAAAATAAGAGCAAAACTTCATATAAAGCACAAATACAAACCATACAAGCAATTAAAAAAACTTAAGTATGTACAAACCAAAAATTTCTTTTGTATTTTTTAATCTGGCTCCACGAAGCAAGAGACTCTCTGGTCCCAGAGGTCTAAAGAAAAAAGAAACCCAAAAGGCACTAAATATATTAAATTTTCAATTCAATTAAAAGGCATCTTCAGTCAGTGGTACTTAAACTACAGTTACAACAATTTTCACATAAAATCAAAATACCAGCTACTACAATACTTCCTGGGCTAATAGTGTTAGTTACTATAACAAACAACATCAGCTTTAGCATTTCAGTCATTTTAAGATTAATGGCAGGGCTAAAGAGATCGCTCAGCAATTAAGAAAGCTGGCTGTTTTTCCAAAGGATCCCAGTTTGATTCCCAGCACTGATATGGCAGCTCACAACCATCTGTAACTCCAGTTCCAAGGGATCCGACATCCACTTCTGACCTCTGTAGGCACTAGGCACTTAAGTGGTGCACAGACACATGCTGGCAAAACAGCTATACGCATAACAGTAAAAGTTTTAAGTTAAGGCTTGTGACTTAAAAATAAAAGTATACATTTAAATAAACTCAAAAAGCCACCAATGTAAAAAAATTTAAACACAAAAATAAGATTAAAAATTAAGCAGTGATTTAAGAAAACTTAGCAGAAGACAAAATTTAAATTTTGTTAGCAAAATTAACTATCAGTGCAAACATAAAATTATCATGAGAGCTGCACAATATAAATGCATGAGTCTGCATAATTAAAATTATATTATATTACAAAATATAATGCACAAAATATGTTAGTGTTTTTTGGCAAGATTACAAAACACTAGCTGACTACTTATACTGCACACTTCTCAGGTACAGGCCTTCTTGCTGTTTGAATTTCTCTCCATAAAGGAGATATAAAATGACAAGGAGTAACTAAAAAGGAAATTGTATTTTTTTAATAATAGCAGGAAGATTAAGAGTTTGTCATGGATAAGTTAAAAGATCTTTATTTTGTTGAGAATCCTTAAGTTTTCCTGAAACATACAAAACTATTTATTCAAATCAAATAAAACCTGAATCATTTACAAAAATATCAGCAAACCCAAATACTGTGGAGAAAAAAAAAATGCACTGAACCAGTAAGGCCAGGCATTTGGGACATGTTTCCCAGGTACGTTTTACTAAAGAGTCCTGCTTGGGGAATACTCATCTCTGCTATCCCAGAACTAGTATGGCAGCTAACTACTCAGCAGCTATAAAATACCTGTTTCACTGAAAATCCCTTCATCATTAAAAGAAACCACATGCCCATTCAACATTCATTCCCTTTTCTACTCCCTAGCATGGCATTGGTTCTAACAATAACAAGAAATGTATATGAAACTGGGATACCATGACAGCTTCCAAATAAAAGACAATTCAGTAGTTAACTGCAGTTGTGTCAGTAAAGAACACACTTCATTCTTTCAGCCACGCAGGAGTGGGTGTTCCACACTGCTACGTTCCTTTACCAGACACAATGTTAGAATACCATTCAGACAATGTATTCACAAAATTTTCATCATTTCAATACAGAAATAAAAACAAGTCACATTATTCATCAGAGATCATGTGTGTGTGTCTGTTATTAAAGTTTATTGAAGGTGTGTCTATGCTAATGTTTATTAAAATATGAATCGGTGCTGATAATGACATTTTTGATGGCATATCTTGAAGATCTAATTTTAAAATGCTCAACTCTTTCGGCTACTGACTTATTTCATATAGCCAATATACAATGAATGTGTCCTTTGAAAAGAGTTGGCAAAGCCAGATTAAAATAAAAGTTTAACAGCTAATTCTAAGATTGATTTTAAAGTAAGGTCAAAAGTAAAAATATAATCTCACCCTATTAACAAATCTTTAAACTGACTCAAAGCCTCTTATTTAGATGCCAAATTATACTGGGAAAATGGATCAAAAAAGATCCAACTAACAAAACAAAATAAAAACAAACAAACAGAAGAATGAGTATAACAGTTCAGAATTGGTCACTAAATACTTTAGCTGGTACTCGGTAACTTTGAAAGAAAGCCAACCATGGGATTACACTTACTAAACATTATGTAAAACATGAATCTTTAAAAAAAAAAAAAAAACTTTTTTGTAGTAGGAGGACTGAACCCTGGACTTCACACATGCTACACTTGCTGTACCACAGAACTGAACCCAACTCATTTGACTTTGAGTGTTACGGCTTAAATGTTTAAGCATCTGAGTTAAATTTGCAGTGTTTCATTTAAAAGTTGTTACCAAGGACTATCAAAAAATGCAAATACATAAACCTACATAAGTACTATTATATTATTACATGGATTGTTTCATCTTCACTTGTTGCTGCTAAAACCTACTAGCTGGTGGCATGTTTTATGCTTTCCTATGATAGGCTGTTTATTTACCTAATCCTCTGTAACTTTTGGTTCTTCTACCAGTTTCCAATTACAATTTAGATAATGTGATTTATTCTTACCTTACAATTTCTTCCATTTGTTGAGTTATTATCATTCGTCCCATAAATCTGTAAAAGAATGTCTCATATCACAAAGATGGGTATGAAATCAATGGGTAGAATACATTTAGCATTGTTATCTAAATGAAATAAAATCACTATGTGTGCATGCTTGTGCAGACCTGTGTGCAGGAGTGCAGCATATGTCCTCTGGCATTCTAGCACTGTTGTATTCCTCTAAGGCAGGGTTCTTCTCCAAGCCTGAAGCCTTCAGTTTTTTAAGCAGGCTACCACCAACCTTCTATCCTCCTGTCTCTGTCTCCCACAGTACTGGTGTTACAGCACAAGAAGCTACACCAGGCTTGTTGCTTGTTCTAGGACACAAATTGCAGTCCTCATCATTTCACTACAAGCACCAGCCCCTAATCAAACTTTTATGGAAATTCTGTTGTTGTTATTTTTGTGTTGAGGACAAAAGCTAGGTCTTACAGATGCTAGGAAAGCACATCTTTTATATATACAAATCATCCAGTATTAGTGCTACAAAGTATTTAAGTTAGATTGTAAACTTTAAAAATTGATTTTTGTTGTCATCTCTATTCTAGCTATGAAGTAACTTTTCTAATTGCCCATGTAAAAGTCACATGACAGTATTATTAATCTACTTATTATCACAACTTATAAAATACTACATAAAAATGCATACATGACTTAGACAACAATGAATGTTTATATATTTCTCTACAGTATATTAAATAAAGTTCCCTGTGATCTACAGATCCCTGGAACCAGATGAAATATTTATTTCACCCATTAAATATTCAATGAGCAATTACTATGTATTAGATAAGTAGTAGAGGTAAAGTAGCAAATTCAAGCCTGTAGTAAAATCCTGAGCTGCTTTAGTTTTATGTTTTGTGGTTAAAAGCTAGGATGAATGACCTATTCCCATAATGCACTTCCATAGTCTAGATTTTCAGTTCCAATTTCCACAACTGAAAATATCACAAAGTATACAGTTGATTCAAGAGGACAACTACTTTACAGTCAAAAGCAAATTCTTGACAAAGCTTCAAGTTAATCTTTAAGTAAAGAGATTCCCCAAAATTTTTTAATTTATTATTTTTTGTGTTATGTACATGGGTGTTTTGCCTGTACATATGTCTACATACCACATGCATGCATGCCTGATGGCCAAGGAGTGGATGAATTTTAGCATTCTCTTTCAAATGTTACGTACTGCCCTGCCCATTCCAGGCTCAAATCTTTTATCTGCTGAAGAATTTGACTTCATATTTCATTCTGATTTCTCATTTTTACTTTCATGAGGGAGAGTTGTTTTTATTCTCCTTGTTCCAGAGAAGTTTATGTAGCCTGACTCCAGCCTAGACTTTATATTTAGATCCAATTCAGCTGGTGTTTCCTTGAACACCTTTAAGAAATGATATCCGATCCAGTTTTTTTTGTTTTATTACCAAGCTAAATGCAGAAAGGACTTTGCTTTCTTTTCCATACGCTTCATCCGGGCATTCTAGTATGTGTTCAGGCTAGTTCTATGTTGCACCGCCCTTCTTATGGTCCCTCATCCTTTTCTTCAAATTTGTTTTTTCCATAGTACAAACAACTGTGTCATTCTTATTTTCTGATCAGAAATATGAGCTATACACTGGTACACATACATATTTTACAAACTGATTCAGATAAAATACAATGGCAAAAAGGAAATAACAGCTTTGCTGGTTATGTTTTTATAATATGGACACAAGCTAGAGTCATCTGGGAGGGAAGAGAAGCTCAACTGAAGAAACACCTTCATCTGACTTTCCTAAGGCAAATCTGTGGGGCATTTTCTAGATTGCAGACTGATATGGGAGGACCCAGCAGACTGTGGACAGGTGGTACTTAGCTGTATAAAAAAAGCAAACCGGGAAAGTCATGTGGAGCAAGCCAGTAAACACTGTTCCACCATGGCCACTGCTCCAATTCCTGCCGCCAGGTTCCTGCTCTGACTATCCTTCAAGATGGACTGTAAACTGTAAGATGAAATAAACCCTTTCTTCTCCAAGTTGCTTTTGGTCATGGTGTTTATCAGAGAAACAGAGAAGCAAACTAAGGAAACAACCATTAGGAAGCTCACTATTTAACACTGTTAATGCTTGGGAGTCTATATGCACGCTAGGCTTCATATACATACATTTGAGCTGTTAAACCCAAAACAGGGTCATAACTTAAGTGTTGCTGGGTAACATTTTCCTCTCAACTTAGTATATCCTATCAAAAGTTATTTACTGGGCTTAAGAGATGGCTTAGTAGAGTTTGCTATCAAGCATGAGAATCAGACTCCATACTTAGTACCTAATAAAAGCTAGGTGCAGCAGTGCACACGTGTAAGCCCAATGCTGAAGAGACAGGATAGGCAGAAGCCTGGAGCTCATTGGCAAGCCAGTCTTGTCCAACCTATGAACTCCAGTTTCAGTAACAGATTCTGTCTCAAGAACTAAGGTGGAAAATGACTGAGGAAGACATTGCACACTGACCTTTGGTCTCTATAGGCATGCATACAGGTACACACACCAACACGAACACATACATACAGAAGTGCTTGCTCTCTCTTGCACACACACACATGCACACACAATCTAACACAACATTTTTAATTGGTACCTTTTGCTTAGAATGCCATCAAATTTTGTCTACTGTTTCTCACATTAACAAAAGGCCTCATGAATATTACTACCAAATCAGATAAGAGTTTCATATTAAGGGCCAATAAAATGTCTTATGAGAAAAGGCACTTGCTGCCAAGTTTGATAACTCTGAGTTTCTTAACACTCACATGTTAGAGTGAGAGAGAGAAAAGACTCCTGAAAGTAGTCCTCTTAACTTCATACACACACAGTGGCATGCATGTGCCCAAACACTCACATGCACACAAAATATATAAAATGCAATAAAATTTTTAAAGAATTATTTTAATGTTTATTGGTTACAAAAACAAGGTCTTGCTAATAGAGGCTTTGCTTCTATTAGGGTTTTTATATAAAAATGAATAAATTTTATAAAAATAAATTTTATTATTAAAAATTTAATAAGACTCTATTAGAATTTTACTTCTAATAGAAGCTGTTAAGTGAAGATGAATTCACCAAATAACACTCCATACCTGTATAAGTCGGCTTCTGGCTGCTGGCATTCTATCACAGCTATGAGACTATCCAAGTTGGCAACTGTTTGTAATACTGATGTTTCTGGAACTGACATATGTGTCTGAAAAAAAATTGAAAAGGGATGAACATGTACCTAGATGTGACCTCAAATATCTTCTAGATGAAAACTATATTGGAGAAACAATTAGAAATAAGCAGGGACAAATGTATTGCTGCATTTACCTGGATATGGAATCCATTATCAGTCATAATTATCTAAAGATTCAATATATGCTATTTAGTAAGAGAAATGTGCATTTTTCACCCCTCCTTATTATACCCTTAAAACTGGGCAAACATATATTTGTTTCTTGACTAAAACTACATCAACTGGGTATGGTGGTTTATATTTATAATTATAGTATTTGGGATTTTGTATATTGCCAGAGTTTGGGGCCAGCCTGGGTTTAAAAGGGGGGGGTGAGGGTGGTATCGGGACTGGAGAGATGGCTCAGAGGTTAAGAGCACTGTCTGCTCTTCCAGAGGTCCTGAGTTCAATTCCCAGGAACCACATGGTGGCTCACAACCATCTTGTTAAGAGATCTTGTGCCCTCTTCTGGTATGCAGATATACATGGAAGCAGAATGTTTTATACATAATAAATAAATAAAATCTTTAAAAAAAATAACAAAAACCAAAAGAGGTTCCTTGTCACTGTTCAGAGTCATCTGACACCAGCCATCTGCACGCCAGACCAAATTCGGTGGTGGGATCCTACACACTTAGGACAGATATCAGAGTATTGGATCTGTTTGAATCTACCAGAAGAGAACCTTGGTCCCATACCCACCAGGAGAGCAAGAAACTCCTGTTACACCCACAAGAAGAAACGATGAGAAGAGGACAAGGTAAAAGCACATTCAACAACAGAAAACTCAATATGACACCACTAGAGACTAGGATCCATACACCAGCAAGACCTGAACATCACAATGAAGATGAACCAGAAGAAAATGACTTTAACAACATCTTCAGAAAAATAATAGAGCACCTCAAAGAGGACATGAGAAAATCCCTTAAAGAAATGGAAGAAAAAACAAACCAAAAAATACAAGACATCAACAAATCTCTCAAGGAAACAGTTCAAGACGTAAAAACTGAAATAGAGACAATAAAGAAAGCACAATCTGAGGGAATGCTGAAAATAGAAAAGCTGGGTAATCGATCAGGAACTACAGATGTAAGCATAACCAACAGAATAAAAGAGATGGAAAAGAGAATCTCAGGAGTTGAGGACACACTAGCGGAAATAGATTCATCAACCAAAGAAAATCTTAGGTCCAAAAAATCCCTAACACAAAATATCCAGGAAATATGGGATACCGTGAAAAGACCAGACCTAAGAATAATAGGTATAGAAGAAGGTGAAGAAATCCAACTCAAAGGCACAGAAAACATATTCAACAACATCATAGAAGAAAAATTTCCCAACCTAAAGTAAGACATGCCAAAGAAAATACAAGAAGCCTACAGAACACCAAATAGACTAAACCAACAACAACAACAACAAAAAAGGTCTCCTCACCACATAATAATCAAAACACCAAACATACAGAACAAAGAGAAAATATTAAGAGCAGCAAAGGAAAAAGGTCAAGTAACCTATAAAGGCGAACCTATCAGAATCACACCTGACTTTTCCATGGAAACTCTGAAAGCCAGAAGGTCATGGATAGATATTCTACCTACACTAAGAGACCATGGATGCCAGCCCAGACTACTATACTCAGTAAAGCTTTCAATTAGAGATGGAGAAAACAAGATATTCCATGACAAAACCAGATTCAAACAATACATATCCACCAATACAGCCCTACAGAAAGTGCTGGAAGGAAAACTGCAACCCTAGGAAGTTAACTACAACCAGAATAATATAAAAAATAAACAACCTCACTTTATCCACAGCCAAAAGGAAAAAGGGATAGAATCCCACATATAATCTCACCACCATCACCAAATCAAAAACAAATAAGAATGAACAATAATCAGTGGTCATTAATATCCATCAACATTAATGGTCTTAACTCCCCTATAAAAAGACACAGATTAGCAGAATGGATAAGAAGACAGAATCCTTCCTTCTGCTGCATACAGGAAACACACCTCAACTTCAAAGACAGACAGTACCTAAGAATTAAAGGTTGGGGAAAGATTTTCCAATCAAATGGACCCAAGAAACAAGCGGGGGTAGCAATCCTAATATTCAAAAAATTGGACTTTAAACTAAAATCAATCAAAAGAGATGAAGAAGGTCACTTCCTACGCATCACAGGAGAAATCCATCAGGATGAAGTCTCAATTCTGAACATTTATGCCTCAAATACAAAGACATCCACGTTTGTAAAAGAAACATTACTAAAACTCAAATCACACATAAAACCACACACACTTATAGTGGGAGACTTCAACACCCCACTCTCACCACTAGACAGGAACACCAGACAGAAACTTAACAAAGAAACAAAAGAACTAATAGAAGTTATGGCACAATTGGACTTAACAGATATCTATAGAACATTCCACCCAAATACAAAACAATTTACCTTCTTCTCAGTGCCACATG